TTCAAGGCTAATGATACTACCCTAGTGTATTTGAAACTGAAACAGTTGAGATCAGATTAGAAGCCTGTCAACTCTCACTAGTGAAAGTCAAATACACTAGTCATTGAGTTATCATTCATCAAAAACTAGTTTTTTTTCAAGAAAATCAATACAGCATAACTTACCATTGATAAAAAATCGAAATCCAACACTACGTACTGGTAAATAAGAAAATATAGGACATGGTTGTAATAATTCTGAATCTGTATTACCATTCAATGAAATAGCCAATGATATTTCTGTTTGTGATGGAAGATTCTATTGTTAATTGAAATATTTAAGAAGAAAAAAAACAAATAAGTTAAACATTTGAATATTGATATTGATTATGAATTCAAACTCTCAGTCCGGTCATTAAATTAAAGTGTGTGTGTAGTCCATGAGTGATGTATTCGCTTTCTGACTAATGAACTCCACCTGTGAGACCCCTTACGGGCTACTGTCGGTCCCAAGCCCGGATAAAGAAGGATGGTTGGGGATGTTAGATCCCCAAAACTCGCTTGATAAATGCCTCATTTTGGATTTCACGTTTGCCAGCATTGGCTGATCTATTGACCTTCAGATTTCATTTCCAACCAGTAAAATCCGTGGCTGCGATTGGCTGCTGTGTATTTTAGTGTGCTATTTTCTTAACTGTCCCAACGACGTTTCTATGATGTATAAATAATAAGCGAGAGTTGTATGCTTGATTGTACTGTGTGATTGCTGGGTGTTTGTAGAATATACTTTCTACGCTTACAAAGTCTTCTTACTCGGTTTGGGATTCAAGGTAGCCTATCTGGACGCTGGTAAAAGTCTCGTTCGCGTTTATCGACTAAGGTAAACTCGTAATAGACTCAAGCATACTTAGTGACGAACACAATAGGTTGACGACCCCATCCTGCAAAAAACTAACTCGCTAATAAAACGCTAACAAGAAAAAATAATTTAAACCATATATAATCTGCTCTGGGAGTTAGGTCTTCATTTAGAAGAGTTATGACGTCTCTGATCAATGACAAACTTACTTAATAACAACGACCTGATACCCTGAATATCGATTGGTCTACACAGACCGTTCTATCTACAACGACTAAGTAAAATACGAAAAAAATCCTATATATTAAATAGGAAATGTCTATCGCTGACTTGAACTATCCAAATTGAAGTTATTAATACCGATACTACTAACAAATAATAATAAGTAGAATCGAAAATATTTTGCAATTAATGATGATTAGTAGTGGTTGTGGGATTGTCGGTTTTCATTGAAATCAAGAACCGATAAACATTTGACTGCTACTGAAAACATGGAATCACTTGATGGCCGTTTTATCTTAGCATGAGACTTATCCGCAATGCACATTCACAACCCTGAAGCAGATGGTACTCCAAACGAGGATCTATAGTCTTGAGCGCGAATGCTTAACACCTTTTGACCATTGGGCAGGTATCCAAGTGTTAATATCAAACTTACATCAATCTATAATAATGAGAGTGTATCTGATATTGTTTTCGGTAAGTAACTGCTTTACAGTCAACAGGGTTAAACACCACTAGCCACAGCTACTCACAAGAACTACAAAAATTCCCTCACGACGCTAGTCACTAGTGAGCATATGATTACTGTTATTCGAAGAGGTTGAGAAGATTATTGATTATTATTATTACTATTAGAACTATCAACTAACCTTATTTGTTTCTTTATAATCAACCGGAATGATTTGTTTAAAACAAAACCATTTATGCAGTGCAGTTGTTTCACCGGTTGATGACAGATTACACTGAGTTTCATGAACTGTGATCAGTTGAGCAAACGATTGAATTTTTCCTAATACATTGACAGATGTCTTGGATGATAACAATTTTGTGGTACGTTTTACATTCCAATAAATATTTGACTTGACAAAGAAAAAAAAGACCAAATGAATAGATAGTCGGATAACATGTAATTTTATTGGTATATAATAACGGCATCTAAATACTGACCATAAGTTCGATATGTTGAGAATGAAGCTATACATCGATCAACAGCTACAGATAGGTTGCATCGGCACCTGAACTAGTGGTAGGGAGTGAAGTAGTCGAGCATGTTGATCACTTCACTTATCTGGGGAGTCTCATCAGCGTTGATAGCCTGGTGATTGACGAAATTTCAACGCGAATACAGAAAGCTTGATTTGCTTCTGCCAATTCACGACGTTTATGGCGTAGGCGAGATATCCGTTCGCTAACCAAAGAACGGGTGTACTGTGCAGCAGTTCGCTCCGTTCTCCTATATGGATGCGAAACATGGCCAGTGAGAGTAGAAGATATTCGTAGGTTACTGGTTTTCGATCATAGGTATCTTCGAAGCATTGCTCGTATATCGTGGGACACCCGAGTGAGCAACGCTGTTATTAGGAATCGGGTGCTAGGTAAGAATGGCAGATCAATAGATGAAGCATTGAAAATTAATCAGTTGAGGTGGTTGGGACATGTGTTGCGTATGCCCAACCACCGACTGCCTCGTCGAGCTTTGTTTTGTAGTGTAGGAATAGGTTGAAAGAAAGTTAGTGGCGGCCAAACCAAAACATGGCAGAAATCCGTGAAGTCGTTGACGAGTGGACTTAGCCATGTCGGTAATTGTCGACTACCTGGTTGGGGTCTACCTTTCTCCTTCTAAATTTATCTTACTGAATTATACTTCTCGAATAATATCTTCGCTCCCTTATCTTCTCAATTACTGCTAATACTTCTATTATTGCTATCACTCCTGCATTTGAACTGACAGTTGCGTCTCTGTGCTGATGGGGCATGGCAACATGAACTGATGTACTTACGTACGAAGTTCTACGTTGCAACTGACTGACTGACTGGCTGACAGATAGGTTAACATTACATGTGTACACTCTACGTTGTAGAAGCAACGGTAAATTTGATTTGTTCATAACTTGATGAGTGAAGGGTCCATAAAAATATTAATTTTATTTTAATACAAAAAGCAGTAGTACAAAGTGACACAAAATCGTCACATAAATCATAGAACTTGTGTAGGCTCAAAAAATACCCAAATGCTCAAATGGCAACAAGTTGGTTTTTTCATGAGACCACTCCTCGAACCTTTGACTGAAAGTCTCAATCTATGAGAAAATGAAGCAATGGTAGCTAGCGACTGACAGTAGTCTCATATGCCATTAATTTTATCGGGAAAATGGAGCCCATCATGTTTGGAATAAGGTTTCTCCAACCCACTAATCCATTTTCAGGCCCTATGGAATATTTGTGCTTAACCCTATCGATTTTGTCAGTAAAACTACCGGCTATGAGAAATCAGTGAATAGGGTATCGCTGGTGGTGACCATATATACAGGCGTGGCCGTATGAAAACATTTTGATAAGGGGGATTGGACTCGATCATACCGCGACATTATGTTGAGCGCCCTAAAAGCTATTCAATTGCAGAACATTAAAGTTATACGATTTAACAGCTTGATAAGATGTTAACAGTCATGGCTCCAAGAAAGAAACAGTAGCAATCCTGCTAAAACTTTTTCACACAAAGCTAAGATGCATCCTCTTCATTGAATAATTTCTGCTTTAGATGTCTTTTTGAACTGATTTGTATCATTTAGTCAGTTACAACATGGAACTTAGTAGATGAATACATAAGTTCAGGTTGCCGTACTACATCAGCACAGAGATGCAACTGTCAGTTCAAATCTCGTAGTGACATTTGAGGTAAAGGAAAAGATTGGGGAGCGAATATTGTTAGTTATTTCCATAACTAATTGCAGTTATGTCATAACTAACCTATCAAATTGTGGTTTAAGCGCCGACCACCTGATCTGATCTGACGTGTCTGTAAACCTTCTTTGTTGTAAATGACCTACAAATTCATTGACATTATTATCTTATTATTATTGATGTGACTCATAACTGTACTCATTTCCATAAGACAGGCACGCAATATTGGTCAGTACTTTTGCTCGGCTTACTTGATAATTGTAATTTCCTTATTAATTGTACTAATCTAATTGTTTTTATGTTTAGAAACAGATAAAGTTTAAAGCGAAATTGGTCTTGTCCTAACTATAGCTCTCCCATAGACTCTCTGATCGCCAATATTGCGTTTACCGTTATAGAATTACATCTGTAGGATAAATTGAATCCTACAAAGATCTTATTCGAGAAGTATAATTCAGTGAAATGAATTTAGAAAGCGAAAGGCAGAGGTGAATTCAGAAGATTCGAATTTCATAGAACACATGTGGATGCATCTGAGCCATTGCAAACGAGCAATGCTATGAACCAGGCCACCCAAGGTATCTAACCATCAGTGACTTCCGTCTCGCAGACCCCAACCAGGTAACCTGCATCGACCACCATGACTCAATCCACTTGTCAGTGACTTCATGGATTTCTGCCATGTTTTGGTTTGGCGAATTGATTTGACCTGAGGGGGGCGTGACGGCGGTGAGGTGTTTCCCTCGGACAACCAATATCTGCAGCAATACCACCTTCTCACAACGGAAGGAATGGGTTAGAAAAGGACGACTCCACAAATGTCACACCTCACCCTACGCAACAGGTTTCCGTCTCCGGAGGCCATGGGCCCTGTAGTCACGCTGACAGGTCACGAAGGTCAACGCTAACCGAACTTCGTTTCCAGGTTCCTCAAGCAGAAACACCCTTCCACGGTGTAGGTAACTAGGAAGTGACATCCGGCCTCATACCCTTAACAGCACACGACAGAAATGAATTCAAACCAACTTGATCATCGTCAACTAACACACACACACACACACACATGAGCACAAACTACTCAGTCGCCTAAGTGTATAAAACATGTAATCAATCTTTGTGATTCAAGCAAACCAACCAAATAAAACTTACTTCAACACAAGAAAATGTTAAACATTGTAAACGTCTTAAAAATAACATTAAATTCGGATGAAATGTTGTTTGAATAAGTCGTATAATATACACAATAGACGATTGTATTGCAGTCATCAATGATGTATAATGAATGAATAGTTTTGAATTTAATGGTAAAATAAACAATGTTTTACACCATGACGGTAATGACTGAGCAGAATTCAATGTTCGCATTGTAGTAGTAGAACACCATTCTGGTATAAGTATTAATGATGAAGATGATGATGATGTATCAGTAGAGCAGTTCGTTGATGTTGTTGGTGATGATTGTCGATGAAAACGAACATGAAAACCATTTGAATGAATTTCTGGTGTATTTGTTACATTGAACACTGATTTGAAACCAATACCTTTACGTCCTGTTTGAATAAAGTAAATTTGAGCAAAAAAAACAAATATTATTTTGTTCGGGACGTTTGAAACCCATAAAACACACTTGATTAAGGTCCTAATTTTGGATTTTATGTTTTAGCGCATGGAGAGACCAGTTGACTACATTTCCCACCTGGAAAAATGTTACACATGCACGTAAACACGTCAACTTGATATACTTGAACTTTTAAAAGTTTACGTGGTCGGAAACGACAGAGAGGATCGAGGATCCGGTGACACGACATGCTACTCAAATCCGATTATTCCAACCCCCATATTGAGCAAAAATAAGAAGACTTGATATGAAGTAGAACCTGTATTCTACAAGCATCCAGAAAGCACGAGCTCCGAGTCCAGAGGAGAATCAGGATCCCAGACTAGGGATCCAGCACCGGGTCCTGGTCATGGTCCTAGTCATAAAACAGATAATGCGAATTTATACATTTTGATCGAATGGGAAATAGCATCGAAGTCTGTGACATTAACAGTTAAGACGACCAATAGGAAGCAACATTTGAAGTGACATTGATAGTCAGGACAACCGATAAGAAACAAAATTGGAGCACATGACATTGATATCTAGGATGGCCATAAAATTTACCGGTAGGAATTAACCAATAGGAACTGATCAATAGTTCACTTAGGATATTGGATGAATATCATAACAAAAACCATTGAATGTTATTGGTTGACCTACTGAGCCAAGTGTAGGGCAAATTAAGGCTAAGAGCTTGGGGTCTGCAAGATGTCAGTAACTGATATTTAGATAGTTTGAATGACAGCTCGAAATCGTTTGCAATGGCGCAGATGCATCCATTCTTTGTCTTCTCACAAATTTTAATTTTCTCAGTTGCTCATGTCGTTTATCTTTCTCTTCTTAAATTTATTTCACTGGTGTACACTCCTTGTATAATGTCTTCGAACCCTAATCTCTTTGATTACTGCTATACTACTACTACCTGTTGGGGACGTTCGAACCACAAAACTCACTTGATAAAAGTCCTAATTTTGGATTTTGTGGTTTCGCGCATGGGCTAATCAGTTGAAAGTGAGATTATGTTTCCCACCCAGGAAATCCTTGACTGTTATTGAATGATGTGTTATTTTAGTACGCCATTTTTGTGGCTTTCCCAAGGACGTTTCTATCATGTATAAATAAACTCGATTTATGTACCTGTCGACCTCGATCTTCTGGGAGCTTATCGAATACACTCTCTACGTCTTGTCAAGACGTTCTCCTCTACTTAGTGAGGCCTTGGGACGTTCGGATTAGAGTAACCTATCGTGTCAGTGGATTATTTGCCTTCGTTCTAGTTTACCGACTACGGTGAACTCGTAATAGTTTGAAGCATATCGATTGACGAGCATAACATATTTGAAAAGTATAAACAACTGATGAGATAGATATATTGAAATCGATTGATCAGGTTGTAATTTCGGTCATTAGTTTAAACGAATTAACATTGGGTAACTCTGCCTGGAGCTGCCCTCTTGGGTTGTACTGCAGGTGGTCCCAAGCCCGGATAAATGAAAGGGGTTGGGTATGTGGTTAGTGACCCTACCAATGAGAAAAAAACTAACTCGCTGAAAAAACCCTAACCACAAAAATTTACTCGCTGGTTTACGGCCTATGCTTTATTAGGGAGAACAGGCGTACATGAGCAAGCAATATATTTTGGTTGGTTGCAGGTGATTAGAAAGAAATGGGTAAGTGAAAGTAATATCTGATTTCCTTGCTATCTCTAATAACCCTAAATTAAATCTATACGGCAAACTCAATACCACAGTAAAGGTGCAAAGTATAGTAAGAACATTTCACCTCAAGATTAGTTCATGTGCAAAAAAATGTTGGTACGTGTCGTTATTCATGACCCTGAACCTCTGGAAATTTCGAGGACCATATTAAGGAGAGTAGTGATATGGAGAAATATCCACTGAGAGTTGAGGTACGTGATTTTGAATTTCATAGATGAAAGTTCCATTCACCACGTTTTCTGACATTTCTGTAACTCTATAAGATTTTCTGAGGAAGAAATCACCTTGCACTGAACTACAGTGCTTACGACATTCAGTAATTTGGACGCCCGACCACCTTGTGACTTGATCGATAAAATCCGATCATCAATAAGGACTAACTGGGCAGACGTGACATTGACTACTACTGCTACTACTCAGTGATAAGTCCATATGACTACTCTAGTCTTACAGACTAGGTCAACTCATACCGAAATAGAATTGTGGTACTATCACAAACTTTACCAAATATTTGAATCCCATATTGAGTATCAATTAGCAAGGAAGTAGAGGCAAGCCACCCAATAGACATGGGATATTTAACCCGACATCTAAGTAAAGTAGAACTTTTGACCGATAGTTTATACACACCTGAACAATTATCGATGATATATATGCTGGACGGTTTACAATTAAGAATTTAGCGACCATGATGAATTAAACTTGCAAACTTTTTACAATTCTATTGAATAATAAATAATTTTACGTTAGAGTTGTATGGTTGCTATTAGAATTAATTGATGAACATATCTGGAATTCAAAACAAAATTTTCTACCAACTAATATCAAAACAACTGTCAAGATAGTTCTATTGTATGGAGAGGAAACTTTGAGAACTACAAAAAACAGTACTTTAAAAGATACAGTTGTCAAAATAGGATACTCCAGATCGGTTGATCGGACATCATCACTGACAAACAACTGTAGCACAGAATGAACCAGCTATTAGGTGATGAAGAAATTAGGAAAAAGCGCTGGATAGTGCATACACTGAGGGAAACTCCCGCTCGTATGATTTTGAAGAAAATTTGTGGTTCAGGTGGATGATTGTGGTGGTGTTTCGTTGTGGAGCTTTCACTGTTCTTCTGAACAACATCATCATCATCACAAACTACAGATAAATATAAACAACTAAAACATCCCGCTCAGAGAACGAAACACAACCACAATCATTCAACTCCGATAGGAAGCAAGCTTCGCCTCGGAATCCTCAAGGCCAAAGAGGAAGAGGCCGACCTAAGTAAACACATTGCGCTGCGAAAAGCAGACGGATATGAAAAGAATGAACAACATGCGTCGAAAAATCTGAAAAGAAGACTAGAGGACAGAATTAGTTGGAGATAGTTGATCGATAGTCTATGCTCCATGAAAGGTAACAGACGTAAGTATCAAAAGCATAAATCACTTACTCTCTTTTATTTTTAAATAAAAAATGTACAAAAAAAACAACTTATGAACATAAAACTAACCAATTTTCGCATCACGTTGTAACACTTTAGTACTTTGACCAATATCACATAATGCAGACATATCGGATTCAGTGAATCCAATCGACTCATTATTCATAACCAATAAAGCAAATGTTTGTCGCTCAGCCTCAGCATCATCATCACTCACTGTAGAAAGCTGACACAATTGTAATTGTAATGTCGGTATATCGCTGACATGATATTGATTATCATCAGCATTTTGAATTAATTCTAATAGGAAATGTCCAGGTAAACTATACAATTCTTCGGATAATTGTACAAGACTACGTGATAATTTACCTTCAACTCTCTGTTGAATTAAAAAATGATAGAGAGAGAGAAATTAATATTTTCATTTATTCATAAAAGTTAAATTTTAATTGAATCAACAGAATAATTCATTGATCCGATTTTTTTTACGAGAAGAAAAGTGCTTAAAAAAACATGGTACAAATCCATGGAGTCACTAACACGTGGACTGACAGAAGTTTGTGAGTGCACACTATCTGATTCGGTTCCACGAGCGTTCCAAAAGTGTGTAAGAAAATCATCGTCTTTGTTCATAACTAGCTTCAAACATCGATAACGTGTATTAAATAATGACGAGTTGTAGCCAAAATGTTGGCTTAATGTCCGGATTGTATCTAAGAATTAGCGATCTCGTTGGTTCAAAGACAGGACCAAATTACAGTACTTGTTCAGCGCACTTGCAACCAACTTTCGAAGTAGCAGTCGAACCTTCCAAGCATCGTCTTGATTGACAAAATCAAATTTAAATAGATCTTCATAACGCCTGAAGCACATGTCAAAAGTAACATTGTAATCAGGGTCATAATGGAATTGAGCAATGCTATTTGCGATGCCGTCGACTGATGGTGCTGTGGTTGCATTAGATGAGCTGAATTGTGTGGAAGGGGTAAACCTTTATATCTATTAACATCTACATTAGTTTCAGCTGCTGCTCAAGTAGTAATTCAAGTTTGCCAGGATCCATGTTTCCGAAACCATTGTCGCCAATTGTTATGCTCATCAATTGATGTGCTTGAAACTATTACGAGTTCACCTTAGTCGATAAACGAGAACGAGAAAATGACCCAGTGACACGATAGGCTACTCTAATCCGTTGCATGTCGAACTGAAGCCGAAGTCTTGATATGGCGTAGAAAGTGTATTCTACAAGCACCCAGCAAGCATAGTGATGACCTCAAGCACACAAATCGAGTTTATTTACACACCAAAGAAACGTCCTTGAGAGACTCACAAAAATAGCCCATCAACCAATCACAGTCAAGGATTTTCCTGATGAGAAATGAAATCTCAAGACCAAATGATCAGCCGATGAATAAAATCCAAAATTAGGACTTCATCAAGCGAGTTCTAGGGATCTAACGTCCCCCAACAGATACTAAACGATGGTCAGATACCTTGAATGACATGGCTCAAAATCGTTTGCAATGGCGCAGGTGCATCCGTTCTTTGTGTTCTCCCAAGTTTTAATCTAAACTCCTTATGACCTTATGATCTTTCTCGTCTCAAATCTATTTCCCTTGTTTATACTTCTTTAATCACATCTTCGAACCCTAATCTTGCTTATTACTGCTTATACTTAACTTATACTACATCTACTACTATGGAATTCGAATTGATAAGTTGATCTGTGTGTGCTAATGTAGTATGGCAACTTGTACTACTATACGTACGTACATACGACGTTCTACGTTGTAACTAACTTGACTTGACTTAGTCAACACATCAAAAATCATTGTACATTAGCATATCTGAATTACAATTTTACCTGAACTAAATCAGCTGCTTCTTTACTTAATTCCACACCAACACCGAATTCTCGACGTCGAATCTCTTCAATAAATTGATAACGATCTGATGAAGTATTGTTTAAATCAGCTGTTGTTGTTGCTGCTGTTGTAATGTGTTTGTTTGATTCGTCAGCATTATTGACACTTGAATTGATATCATTACTTAGAATGGTTAGATAAGTTGAATTCTTATCCTACAGTAGTGGTAAGAGAAAAACAAGAGTTGAATTTTTTAAAGGTATATTCATTTATCCCATAATAAAAAACACTTGAATAAATACAATACAATGATTGATTGATAATTTTAGTGTGTAAAAACAATGATCTTCGGCACTTGGATTGAAAAATTTTATAATCTACTCATCACATAGTGACTAGCTTTGTCAGACGATTCGCGGAGTTTTGATGAGAAGACATGACTAGTAGAGTTCAGCCCTGTCGGGTATAGGCAGTAACTACCAAAGACAAATGGGTGACGTAGCTCAAAAACCCTAGATTAATCAGAGTTAGACATTAACACCGTTGGACGGTGGCCAAGTGGTCCAGAGGTGAGGTGTTCGTGCGCAAGACCGAAGGTCCTGGGTTCGAATCGTACTGGTGGCAGCATTCGTGCATGTGCACTGCTGATGAGTACCGTACCAAGATAAAACGGCCGTCCAGTGCTTCCGGGTTTCTAATGGTGGTCTAACAATGATTGATTTATGATTCCAATTAGTAAAATCAATAGTCTCTCTCCAGAGGTTAGGCTTTCGCGCTGGACCGAAGGTCCTGGGTTCGAATCCTGCGGGTAGCAGGAGTCATGGATACGGACTGCTACTGATGGGTCCTATACCAGGACAAGATGGCCGTATTTCAGTGCTTCCGGGTTTCTAATGGTGATCTAACAATGAGTGATTCATGATTTTAATGAGTAAAAAAATTAGTCTCTATAACTCTAATTGAAAAATGGATATACTAGTTTGTCATCCTGTTATGATGTGCAAAGTCCGAGATCTGAAAGTATATACGAACAATCCCCGCAAGCTAACTGCTTAGACTAGCAAGATAAGAGCAGAAGAGAAATTCTAATCGGCTACCTAATAGCATATCTTCCACTTCTACTACCCCACCACCTGCCTCAGAAAAATGAACCCACTTCCGGACCAATGATATGCATTCATCCTTTAGAGCATTTCGGATAGCCATCTAAATGTCATTCACATGTGAGCACTTTTCATTAGCACACTATATTATACTCAAATGTCACTAATAACTTTGTCCTTAGCGTTGACAGAACTTGATTAATTCAGCTCCAATGGGACTGAACTAATAGCTTGATCTCATTGTACTTTTTATTTGATAATTAGTTGGTTGATGATAACAGAAGAAAATAAACGAATCATATTCAATTCAAGTTATTTGTACAAAAACTCTGGTGTCAACTAAGTTTGGTATCCGACTGGTTTATATAGAGTAGGACTCGACGTTTAGACCGAATAACTGAAATTTAATTATACTAACTACTATTCTCATGTCTAACCTACTGAGTTATTAACGTTGTATAGGTAAGATTTATTTGAGATAATCCATTTGAACGTACCAAAATACGACTTAGATCAGACGTAAATGACCTCATGTAGTAGTACTATTGTACTATGATTCATTCGGTAGCACCCCTAGAATGTAAGTCGGAGGTAGGTTGTGGTAGCTTTTTTTTGCTGTTTCTAATTGAATGGTTCATTCCTGAAACTCTGAATGTTCAGAATCATTAAGGTAAACCATTTTGCAAAAAGTGAAGTTCGAGTTTCACACAGAAATTCTTTCTAATATCCCAATCATTATACAGTCACTTTCTCGATAGTATTATCCGGGAAATACAGTAAACGTTTTCTGAGTAAATCATTGAAGTAAATAATAGAACGTATACACAACATAATACTTTACACTTTGAACTAACAATAGCTCTTAAATGATAATACGCATTTTATACTAGTTGATCACTGATTAGTCAGTCGCCAATTATGTCATATTTGTTTAGTTCATGTACTGCTGCTAGTCGAAATCTATTGAACAACCTGCCACCAACCTACAACTACTCAGTTCTCCAGGATGGATGCGGCTCAAATAACTTCAGTGTTAACATATACTATGAAACTGAACAACCACAGTTCGAATCCACTAAGAAGTACCAATTTTTACAAGAGTGTAAAAAATCATTCCCTCATGTGGACAAGTACTGTATATTAACAGCGATTTGCGTTGTTTACATCCAGTCGCTGTACAACCAAGTAACGATTACTTAATTACGCCTGTTACCCCTCAACAGAGCATAGGCCACCGACCAGTATTCTCCACGCGGAGCCCCTCTAGGACTATTGCCAGTCCCAAGCCCAAATAAATTACGATGGTTAGGCGTGCGATTAGCGAACTCAGAAAACTAACTTGCTGACAAAAAAACGGCAACCCAAAAAAAAACAGAACAGATTTCAACTTACTTCATTACTCTCCATTGGTTGTGCACAACTTGAAGCTAGATTATCATCATCACCATTCTCATCATTAGTCATATGATCAGATATACTTGTAGGCAAAACATTATTATTATTCATTATTGATAATTGACAAGGCAGATCATTAGTTTTGCGTTGTTGTTGATCCTGATCCAACGGAATCACATGAACAGGAGGTGTATTACTCAATTGAAAACGATTCTCTTCAAAATATTTTATATAAGCTGGCCATTTCAATTGATAACCAATATGACCAATAACAGTGATTAGATAAATATCATTTAATTGTGAATGATGTTCATGTTGAATACATGTGTTTAAAGGAAGGAGATGATTGGAGAAAATGGATAAAAGGCTGTAAGTGATAGGTGAATCATTGTTATCATTAGTATTTTGATGATGATCAGGAGAAGGAGGAAGTGAAATATCTGATTTATCTAACGGCCATGATGTAGACTGACGTATTCCTGCTGATTCTAAACTTGGAATAATAATCTAAATTTTTTTTTCAATAGAAAAAAAAACGGACAAAAAATTATTCCAGAAAATTTCTTTTTTTTGAAACCATGAATCGATCAATGTTAGACCACCCATTAGAAACCATTAGAAGCATAATCCCGTAATACAAATTACCTGTGCTCACTAGTGACTAGATTGGTGAGGAATCTTCTCCGAGTTCTAATGGGGAGACGTGACCATGGAAGTTCAACCTGTTCGGGTGCAGACAGTAACTACTACCAAAGACTGTGAATGAGGTTGCGCAACTCCGTGAATTGATCAAGTTAGACATTAACACCGTTAGATACCGGCTCAGTGGCCCGATGGTTAGGCGTTCGCTTACAATACCGAAGGTCCCGTGTTCGAGTCCTGCGGGGTGCAGGAGTCGTGGATGCACATTGCTGAGGAGTCCCCTACCAGGACGAAATGATCACCCAGTGCTTCCAGGTTTCTAATGGTGGTCTAACATCGATCGATTCATGGTTTCAAAAATGTGTAACTTAACAATCTTCAGAACCCCGTAATGCAAATATCCCAGAAAATGTTTTTTCATAGAAAAATTTTTAATATTGAATTAAATATGGTTGTACGTGTCAGTCAATGAGATCCGATGATGTAGTTTTTTTATTCAATGAATTGAATGGCTCAATTGTGAGGCGCTTATTTTTTTAGTTGAGTTCAATCGTTCAATGGTGCGTGGTTGTTAATAATGTAGAATCTAGTGATAGAGATAATGTACTAGTTTAAAATGGCAAACTTTATGATCTAAAAAACAATACATGATACAATCCCATGTTTTGACTTCATCCATTACTTTACTAGACTTATCAGCCAATTCTTAGAAAAGAACAGCGCATAAAGAAAGCACAGGCGCTAGAAATACCCAATCACTAATTGCCTCGACGAGAGATGTTTAGTGACGTAGGAGTAGGCTGGAAGAACAATAGGAGCGGCCAAACCGAAATCTGGTACTAGTTCATGAAGTCATTAACAGTTGGAATGAGCCACATTAATAGCTGTGGGAGTACTGCAGGAGTACTACTACGGGAGTACTGAGCAGCAGTTCGCTCCGTTCTCCTATATGGATGCGAAACATGGCCGTTAAGAGTAGAAGATGTTCGTAGGTTACTAGTATTCGATCACAGATGTTTAAAAATCATTGCTCGTATATCGTGGGACAACCGAGTAAGCAATGATATAGTTAGAGAACGAGTACTAGGTAAGGATGGCAGACCAATAGATGAAGTATTGAAACCTCATCAGTTGAGGTGGTTGGGACATGTGTTACGTATGCCTAACCACCGACTGCCTCGACGAGCTTTGTTTTGTGGTGTAGGAGTAGGTTGGAAGAAAGTTAGGGGCGGCCAGACCAAAACATGGCACAAATCCATGAAGTCACTGACAAGTGGACTGAGTCATGTTGGTACATGTAGACTACCTGGTTGGGGTCCGCGAGACGAAAGTCACCAATGGTTAGAGACCTTGAACGACATGGCTCAAAATCGTTTGTAATGGCGCAAGTGCATCCATTCGTTGTGTTCTCTCAAATACTGATCTTCTGGATTCGTCAACACCTCTACCTTTGTCTTTATAACCTTATCTCACTGAATTATACTTTTGAATAAAATCTTCAAACCCTAGTCTTCTTCATTACCACTATGGGATTTGATTTGACATTTGCGTCTCTGTGCTCATGTGGTATGGAAACATGAACTGATGTACACACGTACGAAGTTCTTAAGTTGCAACTGACTGACTGACTGACATTAATAGCTGTAGGCTAACTGCTTGGGGTCCGCAAGACAATAGTAACCGATAAGTTAGAGACTTTGAATGATTTCGCTCAAAATTGTTTGTAATGGCGCAGATGTACCCATTCCTTATTTCCCAATCTTCTGAATTCCTCACCACCTTGATCTTTCTCTTTTTAAATTTATACTTCTCGAATCAGATCTTCGATCTTTAGTCTTTTCTGTTACCGTCAATACTTCTCTACTACCTCTACTAATATGGGATGTGGCCTTACAAGTACATCTCTGATAAACTCGCCAATCGATATGCTTGCTGCCATTAGGAGTACACCTCACTCGGTTAGCGGGACGAAGATCAATGATTCAGCGACACGATTGGTTACTCTAATCCAATCGTCCTAGGTCCCACTGACTAGGTCAAGAAGTCTTGATAAGACATAGAGAATGTATTCCACAGGCATCCAGAAAATACGAGGTTCACAAGCACACAACTCAAGCTTATCTATACAATGATAAAGCGCTCTTGGTGAGAGCCACAAAATAGCATACTAAAATAATCCATCAACCAATGACAATCAAGGATTTTTCGAATGGAAAATGTGAGTTGAAAGTCAAATAAGCGTATTTGGCGCGAAAACACAAAATTAGGACCTTTCCCAAGTGAGTTCTAGGGATCTAACGTCGCCAACAATCTATCTGAGTTAATGTGATTTGGCAGCTTGAACTGATGTATGTATGTATGTACCAAAAGTTCCACGTTGCAAATAACCAACATATTCCAATCATATTTGTCAATGGAATTTAACACTTATTATCAACCTAATGATTTGTCATCATCTCTACACTAAACTACGTAGAACCGGCCATAAATTTTATGTCATAGTTCAAATAGTCAAACACACAATCAACCATAAAAACCTAATGTGACAATGCACCGACTACATTGTTCATACTTTCCATTAACATCATTTACAAAATATGTCACTTCTATCTAATTCTAATCTTCTGAATTCCTTATCACTTTTATCTTTCTCACTTTTTAAGTTTATTTCACTGGATTATACCTTCTTGAACAATTTCTTCAAATATTATTCTTCTCCTTTACCGCTAATACCTTTACTACCTCTACTACTATGGAATTTGAATTGATACTCACATCACTGTGGACTAATGTGGTATGACAACTTGAACTGATGTACGTGTGTACGTACGAAGCGCTACGTTTTAGATGATTGACTGATTGACTGACTGACACTAATCACAAAACACACCCGCACACACATACAAACACACACACACACACACACAAACAAACACACATTCTGCAAACTTACCAAAGAGAATACTAAACCCAATAAACTAAGCGGTAACTTCATCAATAAGCTATACACAAAATAAATCCATTCATTTGGATCTGAAAATGAAAAATAAAAAGAGGCGAAATAAAACACACAAATAAATAAACCAGAGAATTAGCTCCATCGGGAAAATAAAATCGAAACAAAACCAATTACGCGTAATCTGAGATGGAAATGAAACGGAGGCAAAAACTGTAAATGGTGTAATAGCCCGACATTTCATTGATACTTGATACAAGCTTTAACTAACTAACATCATTAACAAGTAGCCAGAAACAGCAACAATAAAAACAAAACAAAGGGGCATTTGTTCAGCTCGCTGAAGTATTCGAGATTAAAATATTTGAATTTGATTGATATGTCTAAAACGAGACGGTGTTACGGGTGTGCTGTCACAAGTGTAAGGGCGGTTGTCACTTCCCGGCTGCCCACACAGTGGAAGAATGTTTTTTGAGGAACCTGAAATGGAAGGTACATTAGTGTTGGTCTTAACGACCTAAGAGCGTGACCACAGAGCCCAACGGACAACTGCTTCAGGCCGGTCACGCACGGCATTTTGATGAAAGGTTTTTTGAATATTAGCTCAGGTCCTTTTAAAAGGTCTTACTGCGGGAGACGGACATCTGTGAGGTAAGGTGAGGTGTGACATTTTTAGGGTCGACTTTTTCTAACCCTTCCTTCCTTGTGAGAAGGCAGCATCGCTGCAGATGCTGGTTTTCCGAGGGGAACACCTTACTGCTGTCACACCCCTCTACAGTCAGCAGTACGACTTCGCCCTCAGACCTTGAGTAGCTGCTTTTTCGTCTCATCGTTCTCCAATCAACCTGCCTGGCATGATATAACCTTCAGGAACGTATGTTCCAGCCAATATAGCTCGGTTGGGTCAAAATGATAGGCAAGCCCGACCACCAAGTCTAGGTAGCAGCTACGATCAGGAAACAAGACGGTAATCAACTTATCACTTACGTGCGATTTATGATCACTGTTTATTTTGTTGTGTAATCTTCACTGAACTTATTCTTTATTTTTATGTACACCACAATCATCTTGATTGCTTATTACGTAATCCGTCTATTACCGATTCCAGACTATTGATCTAAAACTTGTGTAACTTTTTCATAAATCCTATAATTATCACACCGTCTATTTGATCTGCTTCCGGACCTCATTGAGTATTTTAACTGAACTTTAGTGTTTCAACAGCCCTAATCGCTGTCACGCACAAATAGACATACATATAGTTATTACTATTACTTACTTACCTACTTACTTACGCCTGTTAACCCCAATGGAGCATAGGCCGCCCACCAGTTTTCTCCAACCAACTCTGTCCTGGGCTTCTCTCTCCAGTTCTGTCCAATGTTTGTTCATTCCTCTCATATCCTTCTCTATTTCTCGGCGTAATGTATTCCTTGGCCTTCCTCTTTTCCTTTGGCCTTGAGGGTTCCATGTGAGGGCTTGTCTCGTGACGCAGTTATATGCTTTTCGTAGTGTGTGTCCTATCCACTTCCACCGCTTCTTCCTGATTTCCTCCTCCACTGGAATCTGGTTTGTTCTCTCCCACAGTTCGTTGTTGCTGATGGTGTCTGGCCATTGAATACGGAGTATTTTGCGTAGACAACTGTTAATAAACACTTGTATCTTCTGGATGATGGCTTTGGTAGTTCTCCAGGATTCCGCTCCATACAGTAGAACTGTCTTGACATTTGTATTGAAAATCCTGATTTTGGTTTTGGTTGAAAGTTGTTTGGAGTTCCAGATATTTTTCAACTGTAGAAATGCAGCCCTTGCTTTGCCAATCCGTGCCCTCACATCTGCATGTGATCCACCTTTCTCATCGATGATGCTGCCCAGATACATAAATGTGTTAACGTCCTTAGTACACGATCGATCCTTACGAAATCCAGCCTGTTGATCTCGAAGTTGGGCGTCTACGAAGTCCTTCATTCTGTTTAACAATACCTTGTTGAAGACTTTGCCTGGTATTGAAAGAAGAGTGATGCCTCTGTAGTTCTCACACTTGCTCAGGTCGCCTTTCTTTGGTATTTTGATCAGGTATCCTTCTTTCCAATCTGATGGTACTTGTTCCTCATCCCAAATCTTCTTGAAGACGATGTGAAATATTTTCGCAGTTGCTTCTACATCTGCTTTCATTGCCTCTGCTGGAATGTTGTCTGGTCCTGCTGCTTTGCCGTTCTTGATTTGTCTGATGGCCATACTGATCTCCTCAATCGTAGGTGCGCCAATATCGATCGGGAGGTCCGTGGATGCTGCTTCGATGTTGAGTGGGTTCAGTGGGGCTGGTCGATTCAATAGTTCCTTAAAGTGCTCTACCCACCTATTTCGCTGTTGTTCAGTGTTGCTGATTACTTTGCCTTCCTTGCTTTTCACTGGTCGTTCTGGTTTACGATAGTTCCCGGCGAGCTTCTTTGTAGTTTCGTACAGTTGTCTCCAGTTTCCTTCTCTTGCAGCCTTTTCCGCCGTCATTGCTAGATCTTCCACATATTTTCGTTTGTCAGCCTTGATGCTCTTCTTCACTTCCCTGTTTGCTTCTGTGTATGTAGCTTGTGCGGTAACTTTCTCCGCTCTTGTTCGGCTGACATTGATTGCTGCTTTCTTGTTCCTCCTGTCTTCAATTTTTGCGAGAGTATCAACAGAGATCCATTCCTTGTGATGGTACTTCTTGTGACCCAGAACTAAGTTATTACTATTGATCTTAGTTAATTCAAGTCCTTTTCGTTATCAACGTCAATCACTCCTCATTACATCATATCTCACTGTTACACACAATATGACATGTATGATTGTAGGCAGCGAAAATAAGAAACCACCACACTCAAACAAATTCACATTTTTATGCCTCAATTATTGTTTAAAACCTTATTTTAATCCTGTAGTAATTCAACAACCAATTACATGCATACAACAACACTATAATCATATACCTGTAACATTTGTAAAATAATTTGTAATCATGTCACATGTTTGATCAATTGTCAATTGATTATTTGTTTTAATCACTACACCAATTAGATAATCACTAATAAGACGAATAGTTAACGATGTACGATTACATTGCCATTGATTGAATGCATGCTGTAAATCATTCAATGAAGGATGTGCAGTTAATCGTAATAATTGACTGGGGCTACCATGAACAGCAGCAGTACTGGTATCATCAGAACCAGAATCAAATGGAAGTATACGTAAAGCAACTAAATTATATTGTTCATATACTGAAAAGAACACAGAGAGAAAACAGAAAAAGGCTGGAAGTTTTGTTTGTAATCACAATAATTATTCAATCAATAATGGTCGGTCGATCAGGTGGTTGTTAGTCAGAGACAATGAAGAACTTGATACACAGATATATAAACATCAGCTCAAGATGCCATACCACACATTACCACACAAAGAGATTGAATTTTCGATTCGAATCTTATAATGGTAGAGGTAATAGTAGAAGTATTAGCGGTGATCGAAAAGATTAGAGATCAAAGATATCACTCAAGAAGTATAATACACAAAGATCAAGGTGATGAGGAATTCAGAAGATTAGAATTTGAGAGAACACAGTGAATGAATGCACCTACCTGCACAATTACAAACGATTTTGAGCCATGTCATTCAAAGTGTCTAACAATCGGTCACTACTGTTTCGTAGACTAGAACCAGATAGTCTACACCTATTTACACAGCTCATTCCAGTTGTCAATGACTTTATGGGTTTGTGCCATGTTTTGATTTGGCCGCCCCTAAATTTCTTCCGGCCTACTTCTACTGATGAGTTGAGTAATACCTTACAAGAGAATATTTTACTGTCCTGAGAAAAAATTAAACGTTCATACAACCAGTTCATAATGGATTATTAACAAGACAATATACAACTGACAAATATATCAAGTAATTCCTTAGAATACAGGAGAGAAAAAAATGTAGTTTACCAATGTTATGATGAAATTTTAATGATAAAAGGTGTAAATATCCTAAAGAAATTATTTTGTAAGTCTAATGCTATTGGTTAATTCCTATTGGTCAACATACTATACTATCAAGTTCAATGTTGTTTCCTATTGGTTAGTATTCAAGGTCGACCTAAGCGTATAAATATGCATTGTCTAAAGTTTTAAGCTCCTTTTCTTCTTCTTCTGTAAAAAAACTCATATTTTCTGGGTGCTTGTACGCCATATCAAGACTTCTTGATACCGTCAGTGGGGACTTGGGACGCTTAGATTAGAGTAGCCTATCGTGTCACTAGATCATTTGTCTTAGCTCTCGTTTACCGACCGAAAGTGAACACGTAATAGCATACAAGCATATTATCAATTGACGAGCATAACACAAAGAAAAATAAAAACCTCACCTTGATCAATTCCACATTCTATAAGAAATGATTCAAGGCTACCCCAACGATTAGAGAATAAACAATCTTGATACCATTGAGACCATAATTCTAAATCCATTAAAGATGGACATGCTGATAAAAAACTTAAGACACATTCACGTTGAGTAAGTAAACGTGATATAATATCTGAGGATAATGACGATTGTACATTCATCGACTGTTGAATTTGTTCCATTGTTAAAATACTTGGTAATTGAACATGATGACTTGAAATATTGAATAAAGAAAAATAATTTATTTTGGCAGGTAGGATAAAAATTTTGGTTTTATATATATACTTAAACACTATGATAAGTTGATAAGTTCAACATTAAAAAAAACTCGAAACATGTACTGAACGCAAACATATTTTAGGCAGCCATTTTCCAACCAACTGATATCATAATTTGAAATCATCAATCAATCACTGTTAGACCACCATTAGAAACTTGGAAGCACTGGACGGCCGTTTCGTCCTGGTATGGGACTCAACAGTGGCAGTGCGCATTCATGACTCCTGCTCCTCGCAGGATTCGAACCCGGGACCTTTGGCATTGTAGGCGAACGCCTTACCATCGTACCACTGGGCCGGCATCCGACGGTGTTAATGACTAACTTTGATTGATCTAGGGGTTTTGCGCGACCTCACCCATTTGTCTTTGGTAGTTACTGCCTACACCCGACAGGGTTGAACTCCATTGGTCACGTTTTCTCAACTAGAACTCCGAGAATTTCCTCACGGAGCTAGTCACTAGTGAGCACTGCTGATGAGTCCCATACCAGGACGAAACGGCCGTCCAGTGCTTCCAGGTTTCTAATGGTGGTCTAACAATGATTGATTGATGATTTCAAATGTGTAAAAAATCGCAAACCTCCAAAACTGTGCCCCATGATATCATAATACATATTCATCATACTACGTTGTTAGCGCTTATAGATATGACTCCAATTCGATTGTATGATAATGTCAACGAAATATACATGCTATCTAACCTTGAGTGGCGTTGGACTATTTTTATCTTCTAAATTTCGTATATCTCCGACTTGATGATCTTTACACTCGTACATAATTATCGATTAAATTTTCGTTAGTGAATAATAACGGAGTATAAAACGAATTCAATAAGAGAATGAATTTTGGAGACGTCTATTTCATACATTTATTATCACTGACAGATAATAGAAGAAACTAGGCGGAGAAGTTTACAGGAGAATGGAAAGGTACGAACTTAATTTGATAAGGTGTGACTAACTATTTATAAACTATATGCTTCAAATGCTCTCATACGGCCATGTGTGTATAGCCGCTGAATACAAGTGACAGGGGTGTTGTTGACCATATCGAAAGAATGAAAACGAAATATCCAATCAAGGCTAAAACCTGGTTGGCTAGTACAAAGGATTCACCTAGATACATAGGAAAACATTGACTCCAAACAAATGATTTACGCGGGCTCCAGCATCCTAAGGGAACAAATCGCATACAAACCTACTGATGGTCATTGACTACCGTGTAGCTGCAATCGCCTGACGTTGCTCCAATCAATGACTTGTGGATTTCTAGTGTGTACTAGTATGTCGAACTCTTATGGCTTGTCGCAGCCTTTGGGCAAATCGATCAATTCAATCTACCCGAGTTACTATTATTCACACATCTTTCGACCTTGTTAATTATTCAAGAAATCAATGAAAGAAGTTTCAAGAAAGTTATGAGGAATTCTAAAACTTAAAATCTGAGGGAATACAAACGATTTTGTCATTTAAAGTCTCTAACCATTGGCTACGAGTATCACGCGGACCACAACCGGGTAGCCTGTTCAGTTCAATTGTCAATGACTTCACTCATATCTCTGTGAACATTGGTCACTATTAATTGATCAAACACAATTTATCCAGCATAGAAGTAATCACAGAGTGGGAAATATTATTGAACTTCTCGAAATTGACGAGTAATTACTTTCGAAATGATTAAAAATCATTTCCAAAGACTTTACTTTACTTCAAAATATTCACTATTGAATATAACAAGAAGACAAACACATAAATATAACCTCGGCATCAAATTAAATCACGTTAACCAAATAACCACCAAAATAAATGACTTTAATAGAAACTTTCTTACAAAAAAGCAGAAACTAAACTGACTTACTGATAAACTAAAGGTTTTACTTTAATTATTTCACTATTATTATTACTATCTGTAAGTTGTGACAACATGGATTCGATCAACTGTTCCAACTTGGTTGATGGAATAATCCGTAAATGATCACAGACAAGTTTGCATAATTCCTAAAGACAAAAAAAGATTGCATTTGGTAAGTGATGGTGTGTTACTACTCAACTGAAACGATATACATGTTATTAGGATAGTAGTAGTAGCAGTGTGGTGTGTGCTACTTATACGAACGATATAAGTAGTATAAGAATGGACGTGAAAGAAGAAGTCTCACGGCCAGAAGAGGAAAACGGAAAGCAAATAGAGCAAAAGCAAGAAATAAATAGAGCACCGACAGGAAGTAAAGGAAGCAACAGCAGGAATGGAAGAAGGCTGGAGCGTTGGAAGTCAGGACTCAAAGATGGTGTGCAAATAGAGTGTTCAATGTAATGTTTTCGTTTTTAATTGACTAAGAGTGTAAATTTGCCAAATACAATCTATCGAGCCTGCCTCAGTCTTCTCAGTAGTGGTAGTAGTAGTGGTAATCGGTGATTCAGTTATAATAACACAGATATTTTTTATGAGAAATAGAAAACCTTTGAAATCATGAATCGATCAATCTTAGACCACCATTGGAAACTTGGAAGCACTAGACGGCCGTTTCGTCCTGGTATGGGACTCATCAACAGTGTGCATCCACGACTCCTGCACCTAGCAGGATTTGATTCATGATTTCAAATGTTTAACTTAACAATCTTTACAACCCCGTAATGGATAAAGAAAACCACAAATATTGTTGGGATTTGTCAGAATAATTTGGACTTCAAAGATGATCTAACTTCTCTATTCCACACATAATAACAAATGCAGAAGAAGACAATCAGTGCAGCAATAGCCTCAGCAACAATAGGATTCAACATACATAAGCGAAAAAGCAAGATTCTCTGATACAACACAACATGTACCAACTAAATCATACTTGATGGAGAAGCTCTGGATGATGTGAAAATCTTTACATATCTAGACAGCCACATTGATGAGCACTGTATATCTGATGCAGATGCGAAGGTGCGGATTGACAAAGCAAGGGCAGAATTTCCACCAATGAACAACAACATCTGGAACCCAAAACAACTAACAACCAGCATTCAAGTTACAATTTTCAACACAAATGTCAAGATATTTCTACTGCATGGCGTCAAAACCTGGAGAACTACCAAAGCTATGATCCAGAAGACATAGTGTTTTTATTAACAGTTGTCTATGCAAAATACTTTGGATCCGTTGACCACACACTATCAGAAGCAACCTGTGGTTGGAATGAATAAATCAGATTTCAGCGGAGGAGGAAATCAGGAAGAAGCAGTGGAAGTGAATAGGACACACATTACGGAAAGCGCGCAACTGCGTAACAAAACAAACCACACTAGAGACCCTCAAGAATAAATGAAAACAGAAAGATCAAGGAACACATTACACCGAGTAATAGAGAGAGACATGAGAAGAATGAATAGAAATTGGACAGAACTGGAAATGGAAGCCCAGAACAGAGTAGGTTAGAGAATACTGGTAGGCAGCCTATACTGCAGTGGGGGTAACAGGCGTAAATAAGTAAGTAAAGACATGTTAGAAAGAAAAAACGATTAAACCATAACGACAATAATAATAATAATAACCAACAATGATAACTAACCTCTTTACTTCTTGAAGAAATACATGTTAATTTCTGCATAAAGTCAAATACTAATCCAGGATCGATATCTCTTGATATAGATGATTCTTCGTGTATAGTATCAATTTTCGCAGAACTGGATTCATTAAAATTGTTTGCATCAGGTATTTTATCTTGTTTGATATTAATTATATTAAGTGGAAGCTAGTAGAAAATAAAGAACAAAGAATAAAGTTTATTTATGAAACTTGATTTAATTATATTACTCATAAGTAATTTGTATTTTACTAGATATTTTTCTGAGTCGATTGGTTTATCGAAATGTTGCGTATTGATGCAGCATTTATCAGGTTGATCATGAACTCGGTTTTCATTCATATTTACAACTAGGTTACTAGAAATGTTACCCAACTACTCAAATCTAAATAATTGGAATAGATTTTAAATTGGAAAACCAATGGTTCAAATTAGATTACGTTAGACAAGAAGCCGGAGATTCTGATGTTGTTCCACTGTCCAGTGAATTACACCTGTAGATCCAAGGTTCAGGGAGTAACCCCTTTAAGAAAAGCAATTGCTTTAATTCGTTTAGTTCCCCCACTGTACCAGTAATTGTACTTAAATAAAAAGGTAATGTTAAACAACCGGTCATCAACCACAACTGACATAGAACCTAGCAGATATGTCTAACAAATTAACTTGCTACATCAAGCTACAACAGCCGGATGAAATTATGAGGAAAAATATCAGTTTAATGGAAAATGCATAGAAAGTGTGATTTTAGAAGAAGAGGAAGAAAGTAATCATTTACGGAATAACTCAAGGAATTCACGATCTGAATGGTAGACAAAAAAACTGAATTTACTAGTCATACTAAAACTGATCTCCAATATTTTCCAACCCCTGATCACAGTTATAAACTACAAGCCCCTCCACCAGAAATTTCAGCGCGGGTGCAAAAAGCTCAATTAATTTTAGCCAACTTGCGACACCTATGGAGCAGGCGAGATATCGTTTACTAACCAAAGGTCTAGCCTACTGCGCAATAGTTCGCTCTGTCCTACTATATAGATGCGAAACATGGCCAGTAAGAGTAGAAGACATTCGTAGGTTATTAGTGTTCCATTACAGATGCCTTCGGAACATTGCTGGTATATCATGAGACAACCGAGTAAGCAATACTGTTGTTAGGAAATGAGTACTGCAGGTCAGTTCATGAAGCAGTGAAACTTTATCAGTTGAGTTGGTTAGGACATATGTTGCGCATGCCCAACTACCGAATGTCACGATGAGCTGTTTTGTGGTGTAGGAGTAGGTTGGAAGAAAGTTAGGGGTGGACAAACCAAAACATGACAGAAATATATGATGTCACAGACAAGTGGACTGAGTCATGTTGGTAAGTGTAGACTACCTGGTTGCGATCTGCGAGACGAAAGTCACCGATGATTAGAGACCTTTAAACGACATGGTTTAATAGTTTGCAATGGCGTAGGTGCATTCATTCTTTGTGTTTTCTCAAATCCTAACCTTCAGAGTTCCTCATCATCTCTATCCTTCTCTTTCTAAAGTTATCTCACTGTATTATACTTCTTGAATAATATCTTCAAACCCTAGTCTCTCTCAGATTACTACTAATACTTTTACTACCACTGTGGTGCGAACTACTTATAAGTAGTATATGATGTGTGTCAACGTAATGTCTGGCAGCAGAAGATGGGGGAAGATCAAGAAAAAGGAAGAGTTAGAAAACAATGGAATTTGTATGAAACGCATGAATAGTGACAATGGATTGATGTTTTGCGACAGGAACAGTCCACTTCGATATGATGAACTGATATTTTGCAAATTAACGATTTACGATATGGTTTTCCGATTTTACTGAGTAACTCTGTAATTTTTTGTTAAATACAATTCGGTTGCCCCACCTGTGTTCTCGTTCACTACACCACTACTACTATGGGATATGAATTGACAATTGCATCTTTGTGCCAATATGGTATGGCAACTTGAACTGATGTTAAAATTTAAGAGGTAACAGATGTAAGTACATAAGTTAATAAATTTACTAAATAATCATTTTTGTTTGCATGATTATCACCTTTCAAATCTTTGAAAATTCCTAAATACACACACAAGAAAAAAACCCCAAAAAACTAATCCCTCAGTAAATAACACCGTCACACACACACTTACTAAATTCACAGCATGCTCATTATCATTATGAATAGCTTCAGAAAGTAGATTTAATAATGATTGAGAATGTTGACCAACTGATGATGATGATGATGATGATGATGATGATTGGAAAATTTCACGTTCTATTGCCGCTAATGATAACCATAAATTGTTTGAATGATTTATAGCATCATTTTCTCGTTTTTCTGCTGTTTCTTCTTCATTGTGTTGTAGCTGTAGTTGTAGTTGGTGTTGTTGTGTTAATAAATTATTGATTTTCTCTACAATCTCTATCAATTTCGGATATTTACTTTTGATTGAATCTGTTAAAAATAAACAATGATCCCGAGACTAATCATTATTAACCTGTTTATTAGAGTAGAGATTAGTGTAAGTTAATGAGTAGGAGAGGGTCGGTGATATTAGTAGGTTGCTGAAATCAAAGTCCCAACCGTAGCTGCTACCTTGAGATGATGGTCGAGCTTGCCTATTGTGATGAACCAACCACGAGCTATATTGGCTGGAACATATGTTCCTGTAGGTCCTACCATTCCAGGCAGGTTCATTTGGAGAACGGTAAGACTAAAAGCAGCTAATCAAGGTCTGAGGGAGAAATCATACTGCTCATTATAGAGGGGTGTGACAACAGTAGGGAGTTTCCCTTGTGGTGGTGTTTTGTTCTCTGAGCTGGTTGTTTTGGTTGTGGAGCTTTCATTGTTCTTCTGAACAACATCATCAGCACGATCTTCAGATAGAAGTGAAGCATTAGAATTTCTCCACGTTTGACCTGTAGCTTGTTCTGCTAACCTCGATCTTGATTGGTTGTTGTTGACATTTGACCTGTCGTTGGTTGCAACTATGTTTTGATTGCCTCCCTCTTTTGATCTGTTTCTTGATCTAGTGTCACCTATGATTTTCCTGATTGGTTGATAAATTGGGTCAATGTCGATGTGTTTGTTGATTGCTAATTGACCTGAGTGCCAAGCTTCTAAAAATTCTCTAGTGTTCTTTGTCCTCCCCCTACCTATTAAAGTTACCGACAGTCTATTTTATTTCACTGAATTAAACTACCAGGCAACTTAGCCAATAAATGAGTGAACGTCTCCCAGTATGGTTTAAGAAGAGTCGGTCAAAAATAATACGCAGTTCGATCTTAGAACACCCAGTTGATAGTGGTCAGACTGTAGATAAGTCTAGATCTTTTCGGGTGATCTATCGTATACCTCAATCATTTCCCAACGGAGTTCGATCCCGTCTCCTACACATTGCAGAAGCCATAGGCATACGTACATTCAACCCTAATTTATGTGTTCACAAGAAATTCGTGACACCCCTATCTCTTCCGTAGCCGGATATGACGTAACTAACGATTGACATTATATTTTTTCTTATCTTATTTTATTTTATTTTCTAATTTTTACTCATTTGCCTATTACGTAATGGTTTTGATGTTTTTAATGATTTGAATTCTATTCATCCGCGTTTGACCTACTTTAGTTACCATATTTTATATATTTTCCTACTACTATTGGTTCACCTATCTTCCTACTATCCACTTGTACTTTTGCCTTTTTCATTTCATTGTGATTATCACTCAAATTGCCTTGATTGGTTTAACATTTTCATATAAATATTCATGTACACTGAAGAGTAAAGCCTGATGACAATCTAATCGAAAACAATATTGTTCGCTTATATGTGTTGTTCTAAGATATTTTCGTGAATACTTTAGTCTAATTGCTAATTCGGTAATTTATTCTAGATTGATTGAACCAAGAGATAATTTTTGAATATATTTACATTCAGGGTATAGTTGGTGATTCACATGTATATATAGAAATCATCAAAACACCTGAACAGTTCATACTGCTACAGTAGTAATGTCTAAGGCATTGAACTTCATACACCCAACCGTAGCTGCTACCTTGACGTGATGGTCGGGCTTCCCTATCATGGTGACTCAACCGAGCTATATTTGCTGGAACATATGTTCCTGAGGGTTCTATCATACCAGGCAGGTCGACTGGAGAACGATAAAACTAAAAGCAGCTACTCAGTGTCTGAGGGCGAATACGTACTGCTGACTGCAGAGAGGTGTGACAGCAGTAAGTTGTTTCCTTTGCACAACCAGCGTCTGCAGCAATGCTGCCTTCTCACCAGGAAAAAGGGTCTTAGAGAAGATCGACCCTAGAAATGTCACACCTCATACTACCTCATGGATATCCGTCTCTGTAGATAAAGACTTTTCAGGAGCATAGATAACACTGTAAAATCTCATAAAAAGGACGTAAGTGACCGGCCTCAAGCAGTTGTCCCTTGGGCTCTGCGGTCACGCTTCCAGGTCGCTAAGACCAACACTAATCTACCTTCCTTTTTCAAGTTCCTCAAAAAATACCCTCCCACGATATGGGCAGCCACGAAACGACATCTGACCTCATATCCGTAACAGCATGTGAGACCGAATCAGTCACAAACAAATCCTTCCTGAACTTCAAACAATTATGTTATGGACTTAAACCCCGCCGCTTCATCTACTTCTGGTAGATGAATAGTAATAATAACGTTCATTAAAAAACAGTATCTCGTAAAAAACAAAGTACATAAAACTGCTTGATGAGCTGAATCCAGAATCTTACTTAACATACCGTCAATTTCCTGTGAAACTTCACATAATTCATCATCTGAATTGGCGGTCAAGTCAATAAGCTCCATCTCCTCTGCTCCAGTTGGTCGTAATGCTGATGATGATGATGTTGATTCCAACGCTTGGTCAACTTTACGTACAGACGATACAACTTCAGTCAATAGTTCCTTGATATTCATTGACTCCGTATTGAATAGTAGTAGGAGTAAATGTACAAGTGAGCGAAAAGGCTAAAAGGTTATGAAAATGGAAAAGGTAAATGTATCATCTTCACTTGGGGGAAAAATAATAGTAAATCTTAACTTATGTTAATTATATATCCATTAAACATAGTTTACGTTATATAAACCACTTGATCAAAGCTTCGTCTTAGTTGACATTCTCATCAATATGGCGTACCTGGAATCTTGGTGCGATCCTAACTCGGTAGATATAATTTGATCAGTACTAGAAGACAAGACAAGCATCATGACATTTGTAATGTGTGTAGATATGTGTCAAGTCTACAGGGCTTGTCTCAACCATGAGACAATTGTGATTGTTTCTATTCGAGCGCCTGTGTGTACTGCTCACTTCGCTATCGCGTGTCTGGCTCATTTTTGTTTGACTATAAATGCTCAGTAATGCTTGGTTACATTGAGTTGGATCGCCGGCCTTCTCTACTTTGCTTCGCATTCAAGCCATGTATTTTCTTGTCTGTCTACATGAACGATTGCTTGTAATAAACTCATCCAACCGAATCAGTATTTGGCTTCTAATTACTCCTATCACACAAACGTGGTTTGCTTAAGAATGATATACAAAAGTTGAAGAAGAGATTTATTTCATAGCACAGTTGAACGTCACAAATACAGGAATCAGCTCACGGGCCACTAAAGAAACGAGCCCTACCTTCATTTCAACGCAGCCACACGTTGGTTACAGCTTAGTAATCAACCAGTTATATCTTAGTCCCTCATGAGGTAAAACTCATTCCGAATAAGTCAGTGGTAGAGTTTCAAACCGCAATTAAGTGGTGTAGGCTTTAATCCCACAAGGTGTTATATATGTATATATATAAATATAATGTCTTACCCCAGTAGAAGCAATACGTCTCATAAATTCACCAAATACAAGTAGTGCGTCTAGATGTCCTTTATGCCATACCAAATTTCTTTCTTCAGCCCAATTTTGTAATTGAGTGTGTAACTGTGTAGCACTATCAGCCAACTTTCTAAGAAGATGAACTGGTTTAACGGATCGATATGATTCTAGAGGAAATATACACAATGAAGTGAAGGATGCGTTAAAAACAAGACAAGTTCTCAAAAGTATTTAAGCAAGATTTTATAAGAGGCCGATGGTATATAGTGTCAAAAATCTCCTTCAAATTAATCGATTTGAGTAATGTTAGAATAAGACGGGAGACAAACGTGCCAATACTGATTCATTGACTAATGTAACTCAATGTGTTACGTATGCCCATCGAAGAGCGATGTAGTGTGGTGTAGGAGTAGGTTAGAAGAAAGCTAGTGGCAGCCAAACCAAAACATGGCACAAATTCATGAAGTCACTAACAAGTGGACTGAGTCATGTTGGTAGATGTAGGTTACCTGGTTGTGGTCCGCGATGGTTAGAGATGCATTTTTCATCCGATTTTCAGGACTCGTCAGCTGAAGTTATTGTTAGTTCAAAATAAGTGAAATCTCATGTCGATTAACACAAATCAGTGACTATCTGAACTTAATAGCTAAACATAAATAGCGTGATAGTGTTTGAAGTAAATGATGCTGGGTTCCAGCTGGCGAGTCCAGAAAATAGGGTAAAATATGCGTCCAGGATCCTATTACTAGCCATATTTCATCTATATACAATGGCTATATTGAAGCAGTAGTCCACACAGAATATACACATGATAACTAAGGATGAACGTCAGTCAGTCAGTCAGATGCAACGTAGAACTTCGTACGTAAGTACATCAGTTCATGTCGCCATACCACATCAGCATAGAGATGTAATTGTCAATTCAAATCCAATAGTAGTAGAGGTAATAAATGTATTAGAAGTAATCGGAGAGATTAGGATTAGAAGATATTATTCAAGAAGTATGATTCAATGTGAAGAGTTTAGAAAGTCAAAACTAGAGGTGTTGAAGAATCCAGAAGATCAGGATTTGAGAGAACACAAAGAATAAATGCACCGGCGCCATTGCGAACGATTTTCAGCCATGTCATTCAAGGTCTCTAACCATCGATTATTATCATCTCGCGGACCCCAACCAGGTAGTCGACAATTACCAACATGGCTAAGTCCACTCGTCAATGACTTCATGGATTTCTGCCGTGTTTTGATTTGGCCGCCCCTAACTTTCTTCCAACCTACTCCTACACTACAAAACAAAGCTCTTCGAGGCAGTCGGTGGTTGGGCATACGTAACACATATCCCAACCACCTCAACTGATGAAGTTTCATTACTTCATCTATTGATCTGCCATTTTTACCTAGAATCCGATTCCTAATAACAGCGTCGCTCACTCGGGTGTCCCACGATATACGAGCAATGCTTCGAAGACACCTATGATCGAAAACCAGTAACCTACGAATATCTTCTACTCTCACTGGCCATGTTTCACAGTCATAAAGTAAGACGGAGCGAACTACTGCGCAGTACACTCGTCCTCTAGTCAGCAAACGGACATCTCGCCTACGCCATAAGTGAAGCAGGTTGGCAAAAGCCAATCGAGCCTTCTGTATCCGACTTTCAGTCAAAACAGCAATAATGAGGTAATAGTGGATTGATTATCTTTACTGCTTTTATTACTTGTATTTCCTCAGTGTTTTTTTTTGCTTCTATTATGTCTTAAAAATGTGAGTAGCTTTAAAGAGCACCACATGTATCAACTAGATCATACTTCATGGAGAAGCTCTGGATGAGGTGAAAATCTTTACATATCTAGACAGCCTCATTGATGAGCACCGTAGATCTGATGCAGATGTGAAGGCATGGATCGGCAAAGCAAGAGCAGCATTTCCATCAATGAACAACAACATCTGGAACACAAAACAACTATCGACCAACACCGCAGTCACAATTTTTAATACAAATATCAAGACAGTTCAACTGTATGGAGCCGAAACTTGGAGAACTACCAAATCTATCATCCAGAAGATACAAGTGTTTATTAAAAGTTGTCTATGCAAAACATTTCGGACCTATTGGCCAGACACCATCAGCAACGAACTGTGACCGGATAGAATAAACCAGACTACATAGGAGGAAGAATTCAGGAATAAAGGCTAGGGGCATATAGGAAACACATTAAGGGAAAACCCAACTACTTCACAAGACAAGCCGTCACTTGGAGTTCTCAAGGTCAAGGGAAAAAAGGAAGGCCTAAGAAAACATTACGCCGAGAAACAGAGAAAGATATGATAAGAATGAACAAAAAATTGAACAGAACTTTAAAGGAAAGCCCGGGACAGAATAAGTTGGAGAATACTGTTCAGCAGCCTATGATCCATTGGCGGGTAACAGGCGTAAGTAGGCAAGTAAGTAATCATACACGTGAATCAAGTCAGTAATGAGGATATGAGAAAAAGAAATAACATAATCACTTACTTAGAGCTGATTTACTTAACAAAGTGGAACCAAATTCTTTATACACTTTAAAGATATCAGCATTGATTTGATCTTGTGCTTTTCTACCAGCTTTCATCAAGTTCTCAGGTCGTAGATTATTGATTACTTCCTAATAGAAAGGGAGGAAAATGGGAGAAATAAAAGTATCAAGTACAGATTTTCGTATTTCATTTCAAACCACTAGTTGTTCAAATGCATATAAAGTCAGTCAATCAGTCAATAACAACGTAGAACTTCGTACCTACGCACGTACGTCAGTTCAGGTTGCCATACATCTTCATAGAGAAGTAGAATGACTATACTTACAGTAACTTAATTATTACAAGTCAAACTAATTATAGTTTCAGATTTGTCTTAAACCACTTATTTAGTACCTGATATGCCAGAAAAACATTTCAAAATCTTACATACTCAGGTAGGAAAATTAGAACTTCACACTGATAGAACGCTAGAGCTTAATGCTACATGGTTGCTCAGTAGAATATTCAAAGGCATTAGGATAGAACGTACGTATTTGTCTGAGAATATACCTTCAGTCAGTTAGTTACAATGGAGAACTTTGTACATGAGTACATAAGTTCAGGTTGCTATGTCACACTAGCACATAGATGCAACTGCCAATTCAAATCCAATAGTGGTAGCGATAGTAGAAGTGTTAGCAGTAATGGAGCACATTAAGGTTCGAAGATATGATTCGAGAAGTATAATTCAGTAAGAAAAGTTTAGAAAGACAAATGTAGAGGGTTGACGAATCCAGAAGATTGGAATTTGAGAGAAAACAACGAGTGGATACACTTGCGCCATTGCAAACAATTTTGAGCCATTTGGTTCAAGGTCTCTAACCATCGGTGACTTTCGTCTCACGGACCTCAACCACGTAGCCTACATCTACCAATATGACTCAAACCACTTGTCAATGACTTAATGGATTTTTGCCATGTTTTGGTTTGGACGCCCCTAACTTTCTTCCAAACTACTCCTACACCACGAAACATTGCTCGTAGTAATACTATCTAGTTGTCCAAATGCATATACAAGTGAAACAGTATTCGAATAGTTAGCTATTGACAATGATATATTTTTACTTGATATCAAGAATATTTGGCTATACATTAAAAATATATATATTTGGAACAATATGACAGAAAAAAAATTAAATGTTTGTTCATTGTGTAATCATATGAACACTATATTAAATTTCACGTATTGCTTGATAAATACTTTTGGTAACTTGCATTACGGGGTTGTTGTGAAAATTTTTAAGTTTTATTTGAAACCATGAAACGATCAATGTTAGACCACCATTAGAAACCTGGAAGCACTGCAAGACGGCCGTTTCGTCCTGGTATGGGACTCCTCAGCAGTGCGCATCCACGACTCCTGCACCCCGCAGATTCGAACCCAGGACCTTCGGTATTGTAGGCGAACGCCTAACCATCGGCCCACTGAGCCGGTATCCAACGGTGTTAATGTCTAACTCGATCAATTCACGGAGTTGCGCAACCTCATACACAGTCTTCGGTAGTCAGTGTCTGCACCCGAACAGGTTGAACTTCACCGGTCACGTCCTCCCACTAGAACTCGGAGATCCCTCACGAAGCTAGTCACTAGTGAGCACAGGTAACATTTGATTATTTAAAACAGATAAACAGTAACTTTGAAAAAGAATTGAATAGATGACCAATTATTCTATTTTCTGTGTATTTTTCATTTTAATTTTGATAGTAAGCTATGCAAATGATTTAATGAACTCAATCAATAAGTCACAACATAGAACTAGGTATGCACTTAAATCAGTTGTCATGCTGCATTAGTACAGTGAGATGAAATTGTCAGATCGAATCCCAGCGTAGTTCATGTAGTTACAATATTAGTCATTATGGAAAAGACTGAGGATCGAATTCAGGATTCAAGAATATACAAATCAGTGAAAGTGAAGTTTCAAACAATTTATGAGGAAATCTAAAACTTAAAATCTGACGGAATGCAAAGAATGGATGCATCTACGCATAGGATTTCGTCATTCAAAGTCTCTAACCACTGACTACGATTATCACGCCGATCCGAACCAAGTAGTCTGCACCTGTCAGCATGACTCAGTCTAGAATACACAAGCAACGCTTAGAGGATATCCATGATCGAATACTAGTAACCTACAAATACCTCTATTCTTAATAAACTAAACAACTTTTACATGATCAGTAAGTTTAATGATTATGCAAACTGATAAATATACCTAGTATGTGAAAAAACAATAGCTTACTCTCTCAACACGGAATGTGATTCAGTATGTGTAATCCGTTAATAGTTTTTCAATGTGATCCCTACAGACAGACAGACAGATACAACCCAGAACTTCGTATGTAAGTACATCAGTTCATGTTGCCATGCCCCATCAGCACAGAGACGCAACTGTCACTTCAAATCCAACAGTGATAGCAATAATAGAAGTATTAGCAGTAATGGAGAAGATTAGGGAGCGAAGATACAATTCGAGAAGTATAATTCAGTGAGATAAGGTTAGAAAGACAAATGTAGAGATTATGAGGAATGCAGAAGCTTAGAATTTCATAGAACACAACGAGTGGATGCACCTGCGCCATTGCAAACGATTCTGAGCCATGACATTCAAGGTCTCTAACCACCGATGACTATCGTCTCGCGGAGCCCGACCAGGTAGCCTACATCTATCAACATGACTCAGTCCACTTGTCAGTGACTTCATGGATTTCTGCCATGTTTTGGTTTGGATGTGATCCCTACAACCATACCTTGAAAATTTGTAGCTAGAAAAGAATTCCTATGTATCTTAGTTCGAAACTTCCGAATTAAATAGGTAGTAATGCACTATACTATGGAGAAAACAAAACCTTGATGATTTGTTAAGACTAACTAGGATAAAGCTTGTATTGAATTTTCAGCCATGGTACTACTTGTTATCTCATATTGACAAAAGTAGTATGACAATCTACACAATGAAACATTAACCGATGAAAAGTAACTTTAAAATTTACTACGTACTATGATCAATCAAGTATCATAAAGTTTTTAAAAAAATACACACAGCTGACGACCAACTAGATCAGTGTATTTCACAACTGAATTGTTTTATTAACCATACAGCAAGAAATTATAACCTAATGAAAACTTATGAAACCATATTGATTACTTGTAAGCTTAATGTGTTTACTGAAAATATCATTGTCAGGATAATAGGAAATCAGATAAAAACCAACCTACTTGGACAAGATGAGAGAATCCCTTAATTCTAATTCCATATTTGGCCAACTGATCCAATTTTTGGTATTGACTTTCATGTTGTACAACCCTGACATTGTCCAGAACTCCTAGCATATGTTCTGTAAATACTGATTCCCACCATGAATAAATTGATCCTCGACTAACCGTTGTAGGTAAACGATATCGATTTTTACAGATGCAAGTTGTCAGTTCGCCTAAAACATCTTCTGTACACATTTTCAATGCTTGATTCGCGAATCCAGTTGTGAAACATGTCACTACACGTTGATCAAATTGACTAGTTTGAAGTATTTCTAATGCTACTGGTAACCTCACGATTGGACCAAGAAGTTGATAATCATTTGGTGATTCTAACTTGAAATGAAAAACACACGTTATTTAAGAACTTAATTGTGTTAGTTCTTCAGACAGTAAACTTAGTTTAAATAGTATTAAATGAAAAGAACTTAGAAAAAAAACAGGGTTTATCGAGAATTCACACTGACGATCAGTTAAAGTATGAAAAAATACGAAAAATTTGTAAAATGTGATACGTATATACTATATGAAATTTTTTTGGCTGCCATACAGTTGCAGCTAACGCATTCAGAACCATATGGGCTTTAGGATGGACAATTACCAAGTTGGATACCTGTCAGTCAGTAAGTAAGAACTTAGACCTTGGTATATGCGTACATCAGCTAAGTTGGGAATCACAAGCCGAATCCCAGAGTAGTGGAGGTGGTAACAGTATTAGTGTGGAGATCGAAAGGAAAATAAAAGTCAACGAAAAAAATTACGACTAATTTAAAGACTTAGAATTTAGAGGACGATAAATTTATGCACCAAAGACATTCAAAACGATTCCTAGATATGCTATTAAGTCTCTAACCACTGGTGATGATTATCCCACGGACCCTAACCAGGCAGTCCACACCATAGGACCGTATCGAATACCGTCGTTGGATACAAATATGCTCCCGACGGTGTATACAACCTTAGTGGGAGTAAAACTTTTGGAATGCGTTCAAGCTACATGTGACTCGGATCTCTTGAAAAAAGTACACAGGGCAACTACCCGTGCAATTCCAGAACTTCGAGGTTTAAAAATACTCAGCGGTATGAAAAGTTAAAACTCATCACACTGTCTCTATGAAGAGGTGATCTGATTTTCATGCATGGAGATACATAGAGTGACGAGTTGTAACTTTCATACTGATGTGTAATTTAGACCCGATAAATCCTTTTTTTCTTCCTACTAGTTCAAGACAACTTGGGAGACAAAGCTAATACAAAATCCAGAGCACGAACATAATGACCGTGTAGTTCATGTTTATTTACCAAGTTATAAACTCTAGGGACTTGTTATCAGAAGACAGGGTATCGTCACCTTTCATTGACTCATTCAGGAAGACTGGACGCTCAGAAGCTTACAAGAAAAGGAATAACAGAGGCTGTAGGCCTTTTGTCCTCAACACTCAAATATGAGTTTCAATTAAGTTCTATGAGGGAGTTGGAGACAATACTCCTGTTACTAAATCCAAATAGACAGAACAATGTTCACACTTATAGGCTATTAGTTAAGAGTGTGTTGCTTTGCGCATATCTTGAATGTTTTTTCGACGTTTGAAGTAGGTTAGATCTTGTTAGTTATTGGTCTTTAAGGTTTGTGACACTAAGAAAAGTTTAGTAATCAAAAACTTTGAATATATTAACAAAGACGGTTGTACGTCGATTTCCGAAAAAACACTAAATTTTTTCAACGGCCACCAGGTGTCTATACCTAGTCGTGAGACAGACTCAAATAATCGCAACTAGACAAGTAAAATTAGCCATGACAATTATATAATACAGACACCAAATCGTACCTGTATCAGTTCCTCCAAGTCTGTCAAAGTTACGACGTTACGAGTAGTAGCATACGCCCAAAGATGTGTGTTAACCCTTTGAATTAATTTCTTGTGTTCTACTAGACGCGGTATACAATCTGGATTCATTCGAACGCTTCTAATAAAACTGATAGCAGAGGGATAATGCTTGAAATGACATTTTTTGATTAAAAAAAACTACGAATACCCTGAAAAGCTCTTCTTGTATGCAACCAAGTCCAGTATACCGCTGTTCTTGAGAGACTTTCCAAAGCAGCATTTGTATAGCATTGTTGACATCTTCGATAGATCTAAATTGGCACGACGGTCCTAAAGAAGGTTGGTAATCAAAATGGGATGGAATCGGCTCAGGGAACGGCATTTCGTCTGACCTTCAGGGGCGCAGTAATTCAACTTACGGTCACGCTAATCAAATTCCTAATGATGGATCAAAACCACTGTTTTTACTTCAATTGAATTGATTTCAGCCAAGGTAAAAACAAGACTACTTTTTCGAAAATACTTTTTCATTTGTATTTTGTTGAGTCTATTAGTTCCTTTCTGCTTCCTGAATGTTTGGATTAAAAAATGCACTATGCAGAATTTTATGGTTATGAGTTTTCGTATCCGTTTTTATTTGTTTCTAAGGCGTTTGAAAACCAGACTAACTAAATAGTATAAAAAACATTTTCCAACCTGTGGGCTGACAATACCCCGTAGGAAGTGGCGTGCAGTGTGTTGAGTGCAAAGAATAGTACCATGAGGTTTGCACGAATCCAGAATTCGCATCTTTCAAATTGTTATGAAAAGATCAGATTGCTGTTGTACTATTAAAAGCGATGAACTCACTATCAATTCACTGAAATACATAGGACGCTGGTTTGACAACTAAGACTAGCTTCAGGAGAGTTGGTGTTATGCCCCGGCCATGAAGAAGAAGATGCTTCATACACACAAGGAGTTGCACCGATGCTATCCAAACAAGCACAAAAGGAACTGATAAGATTGGAGTCTCATAGGCCCAGGATCGTCAAAGCATCCTTCAGAACGTAGAAAAAGGGCATTACAATGAACGCCATCCAATACTATGCGCTTACCAACGACTACAATAACCACATTAACTCTACGAGAGGCTGCAGTCAATTGTCGAGAGATGCTCATCAATGGCCATTCTGATGGGAAACCGAAATGTTAATGTTGGCATGGATAGCACTGGATATGAAGACGTCATGGGAAGACATTGACTCGGAGAAAGTAGAGAAAATTGTGAGAGATTTTCAAACCTATGTGCCCTCAACAAGTTCATCGCAGGTGTCACACAAAGCTACATGGATTCCAACGGATCACACTACTCAGAACCGAACACACCATATGTGTCAATGAAATGATAAAAGGTCCATGGAGGAGGTGAAACCAAAAGAGTGGCTCACGTAGCCTCAGATCACCACTTGCTGGTGGTCAGAATGAAACTGAAACTCAAGAAACACTGGGATATCACAAATTTTTAATACAGCGTTTCCTTAGGACGAAACGAAATCAAGATAGCCCTCAGTAATAGGTTCTAGGCTTTTCACGATCTACTCAATAGAGAGGGAACAACCTTGAAGAACAATGAGAAATAGGTCAAAGAAGTGATCACTTCAAAAGCAAAGTAATCATCAACACTGAATAACGGCGTAGCAGGTGGGTAGAACACTGCCAGGATCTCCTGAATCAACCAGCTACACTGAACTCACCCTAAATTAAAGCAGCATCCACAGACCTCTGAATCGATATCCGACCACCAACGATTGAAGAGATTAGCGTGGACATTAGATGAATCAAGAGTGGCAAAGCAGCGGGACCAGACAGCTGCAAAAATACTCCACGTCCTCTCCAAAAAGATTTGGGATAAAGTACAAGTACCAGAAGACTGGAAAGAAGAATACCTAATCAGATGATCTGGCTCTCCTATCGCATACGCAATAACTAATGCAAGATAAAACGACCAGTGTGGCAGCGGCCGCAGAAGCGGAATGTCTCAACATACATAAACGGAAAAGTAAGATCGTGTGAAGCAGTAAAACATGCACCAATCAGAAAACTCCTGATGGAGATGCCTTAGAGGATGTGAAAGTCCTTACATATCTGAGCAGCATTATTAAAGATCAAGGTGGATCGGATGCAGATGTGAAAGAGCGAATTGACAAAGTAAGGGCTGCATTTCTACAACTGAACTAGGACTCAAAACGACTGTCAGCAATCACCAAGATCAGGATTTTCAATAAAAATGTCAGTTCTGCTGTATGGGACGGAAATTCGGAGAACTATGAAAGTAAGAAGATACAAGTGTTCATTAACAGTTGTCTAAGCACAATACTTCTAATCGGTTGGCTAGACAACATCGGCAACAACCTACGATGGAAGATAATAAACCAGATTCCAGAGAAAAAATAAATTAGGAAGAAACTCTGGAAGTGGCAGGACAAACATTGCCGAAGGTTCCCAACTGTGTTGCAAGACAAGCCGTTACTTATAATCCTCAGGGTCAAAGGGAAAGAGAAAGGCCTAGGAAAACATTACGCCGAAAAATAGAGAAGGATATATGAAGAATGAAGAAAAAATTAAACAGAACTGTAAAATGAATCCCAGGATGGAGTAAGTTCAAGAATTCTGTTAAGCGGTCTATGATCCATTGTCGGGTAACATGTGTAAGTAAGTAGAAGTAAAACAGCACTCGTACATATTGATATTTGTAGCATGAGACAGAGCGAAAATTTGCGTAAATCTTTTACTGTCTCTTTTAAAACTGTACAATATATACAAATGTACTAACAATATATCAACTCTATTTATTTAAACGAAATGTGTATAAAGTATTCTGTTCCCTTCAGTTATTTTGTGGAAAGCTTGTCTTCTAAGGGATGACGTTGTTAATCCCTCCTCCTTAATCCGTGCTTGGACCGGCAGTGATCATAGCAGTGCTTCAAGTAAAGCTGAAAAAAATACATGAGCATACATCTAAAAAATTGTTTTGACAGAACGAAAATTGAATGTGCAAGAAATAGGTGTACGGCACGTGAAAAAAGTTTCAAGAAGAGCTTTTAAATGTTCTCTACAGAGTGATCATTTAGATTCTTTGTAAAACTCACGGTTTATCCAAAGCGCATCGTTCTAGGCCCGTGGTGATTAAATATCGGTGATTGCAGCTTCGTCATGTGGATTGCATTTAGCAATTTTTTGATGGCAAAGTCGATGTAGAAGCGTTTCCTTCATAGTTAGTAGTTTCAAGCAGGTCAATAGTGATATTTTCTTTGGTCTCATTCTTGTCGATGTTATCGTTACTCAGGTTCACGATGAAGAAATTCATGTGGTCCTTTGCATCAGCCTTCGGGTGCTTGACGTAATTTGTAGTGACGTACAAAATTATGTGGGCAAACCGAGCGAAAACATCAGTTAGTTGTAGTCAAATGGAAACAGGTTTAACTGACTGAGCTTAATTTGTAAGACTGCCGGTATATGCGTTTGGATCTACATCCCTTTGAGATGAAGAATCCACGAATTATCCTAGGAGTCGAAGCGCCGCTGCAAACGAGTTCGTCGGCACTAAATGGAACCTTGCTTTCATTATTTTTCATGAATTCCGAGTAACGAGAGTGTTAAGCTACAGTCCACTTGGATACGCCTTCAGCTGCCACTGAGATCGTTCTCTTAAGCCGTTAGCGCATGGATGGTGTAGAATCTATTTTGAAGGCTTTTTTGGGGGAAAACCCCTATATATATATAATATGTTCTTACTAACTCCTTCTGTGCTACATTTTGGCATTCTGTCTAATCCCATTTTGTGATGTTAATATTTGTGTTTTGTTATAGTTTCCATTTCTTGTACCTTTATTTGAGTTTCTATGTTTTATACTGAACTGTATTATACTGTTTAAACTCATACTTAATCATGGCGTCAGCCACGAATTTGACACTCTGGGCCGTGAACTTTGAATCTGGACTGTAGGGGTGCAAGTTTGTACTTATACGCAAGCATTAATAAAAATAATAATCATTTATTCTCAAATAACGAACATGTTACAAGAGGTATGCCAATTCACAGGCAAGATCAAAATGTTAAGTTCGACAACATATTTCTTTTAAAACGGTGTACAGACACTCGAATATTTCATAAGATACATTGGCTCCATTTAGACGGAATGAACAACGCGAATAACTGGCGCGAGTTACGAAGGTTGTGTTACGACGAGTTTCTTAATGGCCATGAAACAATGCAAGGTACGGCCAGGTCTACATATAACAAGAGTTGATGAGGTAAATGTTCCAGGAACTGCTTGATAAATTAACAGGCCCTTGGGTAAATTACCCGTCTTCGGCAAATATCCAGACTAATATATAATTATTGGAATAAGTTGCTGAAAAAAGAGAAATAAAGAGAGCGAGGCTAGGAGCAGAATAAAAAATATTCTTGTTCAAAGACTAACAATCACTCAGCACATACTTTTCTGGGTAAAACAAAGGTATGTTTACTCAGACTTTTTTTCATTAGAACACTAACCGTATACCTACATTTATGTAGGTTAATGAAGACAGTTCAGTAGTAAGATAACGAATGGACATTTAATCTTATGAATAAAGTAAATTCAGCATAACCAAATTGTTAGCAACAGTGTTGATTTACAGAATATAATAGTGAGGCTCAGTGATCTTATGCTTTTATTTTATTTTATTTGTTTATTTTTTGATTTTTTTATTTTTAACTCTGTGGCTCAAGAAGTTATGAATGAGCTCTTTTTCTGTATAACTGTCCAGATCTGTTTGTAATAGGATTTCTTGGTAGGAAGTTAAAACCATTGCAGGTTTACGGACATGAGTCATAGCCGAGGTTAACAAGGAAAAGTAACATCAATATCACTGACTTGTTACATCCTGCTATAACGTAAGGAGCCGTAAGCAAACAAAATGTTCTGCCACACAGACATGGGTAGATTGAGGTTATCGCCCCACCGTCATGAATGCTGGTCATATACACCACCCTCCCTCCTTTTGTGATGTTAGGCTCTCTTACGTTTAATGGTTGATTGTAAGTAATGGTCCCTAGTCTACTCTCAATTTTTTTGTACACCTTATCGGAATTCACTTTCTCTACTAGCTCCACATTACAAGCGATCCAGACAATTTCGCTTTCTGTATGAAAACAAAATATCCACGTAGCATGCCATACTGAGTTTAAGTAAACCAATGGTATAAATTGTAAGATATGTATCAGATAATAGGTGGTTTTGGGATAGAAAGGACAGTGAGCTGGAAAAAGAAGAAAGAGAAAAGAGAGTTGGAATAATGGTAAAAATTATTGAGAAAAGCGATAAATTGGTAAGCAGGCAAAATTTTTGGATGGTA